GGCACCCTGGGACCTTGGGGCATTCAGCATACAGAATGTGAGAACGCACGCGTCCAGTGACCACATGAATGTGCACACGCACTGTCATGTGAATAATTGCACACAGAGCTGGGGTGGACTCGGGGAATGGGGTAAGTACCGGGCCCTGAGCTCAGCCAGTGTGCCGAGGGGCGTGTCCAGCCTGCATGCAGCACGGGGGCCAGGCAGCGCTGCGTCTATGTACCTGGCCTCGGGGAGCCCGGGTACTGCCTGCGGCCTCCTAGGCCATGCCCAGCCAGGGCAGGGGGGGGAGGGGCCTCCTTCTGCTGTTGGGCTAGGAACTGCTGTCTCCCTGGCCCTGGGCCCGCTGATAGGGGTGTGTGGGGCTGTGCCTCCCTCACACCTGGCCCAGGCTCTGGGTGCTCTCTCCCCAGGGAAGGGGTCTCGCTGAGCCTGGGGTGGGTCTTAAAAGCGGGGAGGCCCAGGCCCTACCATGTCTGTTGCCTCTGTGCCCACCTGGCCTATTCTAGCCCCACTGCTCTGCTCAAGGCTGCCCTGAGCGTCTCCACCCCTCCCACCCTGCTGCCCAGCTCCAGGCCCTGATCCGTGTGTTGCACCTCAGGAGGTGACGGGTCTACGCCGCAGGAGCTCCAGGTCCGAGGAGGCCCTGTGGGTGCGGGTGCCCACCCAGGAGGCCAGCTCGGTGTAGGTCTCTCAAAGGAGGAGTGCTCTGGCCAGACCTTGGTCTTTCAGAGAAGGCCTCCCAGGGGTGGGAGGGAGGGAGCCTGTGCACGTGGCTGCTGGAAGGTGAGGAAGGTTAGGATCCGGTGGAGCAGGATGGAGAGGGGCTGGCCTGGCTGGGGTGGTCCAGGCCCAGCTACTGGGCACCTGCAGGGTGGAGCGGGGTGGGAGCCAGCAAACGAGGAGTGGACCTGGCTCTGCAGAGCGAGCTGCTCCGTGCTGCTGCCGCAGGAGCAGCGGTTGCCTGGCACCTCTGCTGTTGCCATGGAGACGACGGAGGTGCCAACTTGCTAATGAGTCCCCCTCGGCTGCAAATAACAATACTACACTGGTTAATAGGGCCGAGCCGGAGGCTTCCTTGGGAGGCGGCGGCCGGGTGGGGACCAGGTACCGGGCCTGGGATCAAGCTGCCCCCCCCAGCCCTGCCCCCACTCTCCTCCCTGGGTCTCCAACCTCACCTCCCTGCCCCTCCTCTAGCCTCCTTTCCCATCTGTGGAGTGGGCAACTCTCCACGTCCCTCCGGTCATTTAAGGACCAGAGGGCGGGAGGCGCGCAGGCTGGCCACGGGGAGAGCGAAGGCCTCTCCCCTCCCTCCCCCTCCCTTGTCCCCGCACCAGAGTTCCATTTGGCTTCTGTCGTTTTTGGTGGGAGGTAGCCCACCCCCACCTAACCCATGAGGATAGGACCCTCTGGCCCACGGTGTCCCCAGCCCACTGCATCCCTGTCAGGGTCCTGGGCCTCTGAACTGGGCTGTGGTCCACATCAAAGGGTGGGAGGCTCTGCTCAGGCCTGCAGGAGCAGCGTGTAAAGGGGACCTGGTGGCCACGGCCTGCCACAGCCTTGACAAGGTTCAGGTTAGCACTCAGGAAAAGCATCTCAGAACAGCTCAGACAGGAATCGAATTGGGGACCCCTTGGCACACAGGCAGGGACCCCCTTAGTAGGCAGGCCCTGTGGCTGTTGAACTTGCTTGGCGTGGCCTTCAGGAGGGCAGCAGCCCCAGCTACACCCCCAGGCCTTGCCCCGCAGTTGAACTGGAGTGCCTGAGGAGTGGGGTGTCTGTGAACGGGACCCCAAGGCCCCAGCACTGTCCAGGGCCATCCTGGCAACCCCCTTGTCAGCAGCTCCGGTGGCCCAGCCTGGGGCTGCCCACACCACGCGGGCCCGGTCCCCGCCTGCCTTGCACCTCTGTGACCTCCGCCATCCCCCTCCCCAGCCTAGGAGCTCGCCCGAGGGGGTGGTCCAGAGATGGTGGCAGCTGTCCCCAGTGTCATCAGCGCTGTTTGAAAGGTGACGAGTGTCCTCAGGTGCCGCACCCCAACGCTCTCTGCAGCTACAGGCTGGGGGCTTGCAGAGGGGGTTCCCTCTCTGTGGTCCCTGGAGGGAGCATCTGTCTCCCGGCCTCCCCCACCCCCAAGATGGCTGGGGATGTGGCAGAGGGAAGACCCTGAGTGAATGGCAGCCGTGGACGCCCCGGGTTCTGTCCAGTCTCATTAATCGGGTTGATCCCACCCCTTCCCTGAGCCTCAGTTTCCGCAGTTTTAAAGCAAACTCATCGTCCTGATGCTGCATGCCTCCGGGGGGCGCTCTGAGGCTTGGGGGTGCCTAGAGAAAGGCCAGGCCTGGCAGGTAGGACGGGGGTGGCAGAGCCTTGGCACAAATTGTGGGAGGGGCCTTCCGCCCAGGCTCTGGAGTCCCCCCCGCCATCCAGATTATCAGCTTATGCAGCGATTGGGCTGCAGGGGCTGGAGACGGAGGGTGTGCCACGGACAGACGGGAGGGCTTGGCAGTGGGGGAGGGTGGGGGCATGTTCCGGACCCTGCCTTGCCCTGGGTGGGGGGAAGTGGGAAGATGTGGAGGCCGGATTGGGGAGAGGTCTGCATCCCAGGGGTGGGATGACAGGAGATGCAGGGGCAGAATGAGGTGTTCTGGAATGAGTGAGGGTCCGTGGACCCAAGGGCCCAGGAGAGGGGCCCTCAGGCCTCGTCCTGCCTTTCCAGCCCAGCCTGAGCCCCGAGGCCCTTCCCTCCGTGAGCCCCCACTTGCCTTGCCGTGTCCTGCTGAGAGGCTGGCGCCGTGACCGGGAGGGTGCAGCAGTGGACGGGCCACTCCCGAGCACCCTTCCATGGGTCACAGACTCCCCGAGTCGAGCCCAGAGGGGTCAGGGAGCTCGACCTGCACAGAGGAGCCAGAGGAGCCAGAGGGAGGGAGGGCCCCACGGGCATACGTCAGGCCCAAACGCGCCGGTGCCCCTGGATCAGTGCCACCGCCAGCCCCTCGGAGGCCGGCCCTGCCGATGCCCACCCCCGGGGCCTGCAGCGCCTCTCACAGTCTGCCTGTCCTTACAGGTCTGGCGCCATGCCCAGGCACTCGGAGCCCTAGGCCACACCCGGGCAGTGGGAGCGGCCCCTGCTCACTCCCGGGCTCACCCCCTCCCCACTGCCCACTGCCACGCCATGGCCGGGGACCGGCTCCCTCGGAAGGTGATGGATGCCAAGAAGCTGGCCAGCCTGCTGCGGGGTGGGCCCGGGGGCCCACTGGTCATTGACAGCCGCTCCTTCGTGGAGTACAACAGCTGGCACGTGCTCAGCTCCGTCAACATCTGCTGCTCCAAGCTGGTGAAGCGGCGACTGCAGCAGGGCAAGGTGACCATCGCGGAGCTGATCCAGCCCACCTGTCGCAGCCAGGTACCGCCTTGTGCCTGCCCATCCCCTCCAGGGTCCTCCGGGGGCCTGGGCTGGGGCAGCTCCCCTTCCTCTGCCTTCGAACCTAACCTGGGCTCCTAAGGGTTGGAATCTGAGCCATTGTAGAGCAGTTCCCCGCTCCCTCTTAGGGCTACAAGAAGGCCCCTCCCCCCTCCGCTGACAGGTTCAACACCCGTCCCCCCTTCCTTCCCTCCCAGAGCCACTGACCCCGTCTGGGTCCCCACTCGGCCCGCACTCTGATGGCTGTGTGGACTTGGAAGAGGACGGGCCTGGTGGCCGAGGGTCTCACGCAGACAGCTCATGTCCCCAGCCCCCCGTTCTTTCCCCTCCGGAGTCTTGAGGACCCGGAATTCTCTCTGTGGCCCCCAAGAATGTCTCAGGTCACCTGCAGAGAACAATCCTGTCTCTATTCCCAAGGAGTGTTGAGTCCGCACTGGGGAGGGACCGGGACTGCTGGGCCGTGACCTGGGAAGGCAGTGGCACCTCCAGTGGGGGAGGGGTGGCCCGCCAGGCAGCCCAGAGCCTGAGGGAGGGGTCTTGGTCTCAGGCCCTGCCCCATGCAGAGCTGGGATGTGAGAGGACCCAGATGGGAGTCCCCCCACCCCAAGGGCAGAACCGGCTCCCTATGGCTACCGTGAGGGGAATCCAGTGATTAACAACCCCTAGCGAGGTCTCCCGGCCAGGACGCTCTCCCATTGGCTGCCGGTGACATCATCTGGCCCAGGGTTGGCAGCTCAGCTGGCTTAAGGGCTGAGCGTGCTTGGGGGGCGGGGCATCAGCTGCCGTCTGAGCGGGAGCTGCTCCACATCTGGGCCCCGGTGGCATCCGAGGGGCGGGGGCAGCCGGAACCCCCGCTTCCTGCTGCTGCTGCCTGGATCACTGGGGGGAGGGGTCTTGCCACAGCCCTCAGTTTCCCCATCACTAGCCGGGGAGGAAAGGAGAGCCCAGACCCAAAGACCCCCCCCCACTTAAGAACCCCCGAAGTGTGCCTCCCGGGTCCCTAAGGAAGAGTTGATTTCCCTCAGCCTCCCTGGGAGCCAGCAGCCCCGGCCTCCCTGTGCGCCTGCCACCTGGCCCCTGTGTGCACCTGCCGGGAGCCCCACTGCCTTCCCCGTGTCTCCTCCACGCGGGCCTGGCCCACAGTGTCTGTCACCTTCACTCGTGTGAGTGCGCGCACCGGGCTCGGCCACGTCGGGGATGCGTGTCCCCCTGGCCCTCCCCGCTCCAAGGGTCTGCCCGTGTGGCTGTGGGCATTTACACCTGTCCAGGTGTGAACTGTGGCTGGGTGCCTGCCCCCACTCCCCTTGGGGCACCCAAGCGGCAGCCCCTCCCTTCCATCCCCCGACCAGCAGCAGCAGTGGCAGCAGGGGGTGGGGCAGCTGGCAGGTGCCCGGCCACCGTGACCTCTGCCCTCTTGGCCCCCAGGTGGAGGCCACGGAGCCGCAGGACGTGGTGGTCTATGACCAGAGCACAAGGGACGCCAGCGTGCTGGCCGCAGACAGCTTCCTCTCCATCCTGCTCAGCAAGCTGGACGGCTGCTTCGACAGCGTGGCCATCCTCACAGGTGCGTCTGGAGGCCTCTCTCCCCGCCGCCGGCAGCTTGGCGGGGGCGGGGGGGGGGTCTGTCTCAGGAGTCATGTTCTGGCTCTGCCTCTGCTCTCCTCTCTGAGCCCGGAGACCAGTGTGTGCTGCGGCAGTGGGGGCCTGGTGGGGATGAACCTCCGTAGCTCTGGAGTTCTCAGGGGCTCCAGGGACCCCTCCTCTGGGCCACCACACTTCAGAGCCCCCTCCAGCACAGGCCCATCCCCACCACCAGCAGGTGAAGAGGGGGACAGGAGGGAACCCCCGACACAGGCCTGGGGCAGGGGAGATGGGGGAGGAATCTAGGCCAAGACCCGGTCTGCCTTGGAAACCACCCCCACCCCGCCACACACACACACACGCACACGCACACACGGCACTGAGCCAGAACTTGTCCCACACGGGGGGGGGGTCCCCTGAACACTCCAGCTGGCACAGGTGGCCTCACAACAGCCTGCTTGATCATGACTGCTGTCTGGTGGGCGAGTGGAAGTCCCCACAGGGCTTCCCATTCCCCAGAAGCAGCCTGGCCAGCCCCCCATACACACACGCACGCATGCAGGCTGCACTGTGGTTCTTACCCACTCCTTCCTCCTGTAGGCAGTGGCTAACATACTTCTGCAGAATCCACCCCCTGCCCAGGTGGCCCAGGGCCTGTCCCAGGGGCATGTGGCCTCCCTGCCTGGGTGCCCCTGGCCTCTGGTTGCCCAGGGCCATAGCAGGCGGGGGGGGGCACGCTGGCGTCACCCCCACCCCCACACAGCTGGTGGGGTGCTTCGGTTCATTCGGCACACCTGCCCTGAGCATCTACTGAGCACGACGGGGGTGCTGGTCGGTGGGCACGGGAGAGGGGCGGCTGCAGGCGGGCTCCATCAGCTGCAGGAGCCAGGCAGCTCCGGGCAGACCTCTCAGAGGAGGGGCTGCATGAGTGCATGCTGCCCTCTACACGTGCGTCGTGTCCAGGACGGAGGGCTCTGCATGGCCGGCTCTGCGAGGTCAGAGGGTGTCTGCACCTGGCTCTGTGTGTGTGTGCGTGCGCGCGCGTGTGTGTGTGTGTGTGCGTGTGTGTGCGTGTGTGTGCGTGTGTGTGTGTGTGTGTGTGTGTGAACTCTGGGAACCAGAAGCCACAGAAATGCAGATCCTCTGATTTAGCCGCTGGGCTCAGTTTGGGGACCAAGCAGGGGGGCAGTTTTACAGGGGTCCTGGGCAGAACGGGAACCCTCCCAGGGCCCAGATGGGAGCCCCTGTGTGTGTGTGTGGACGCACGTGTGTCCCAGCCAGAAGTGACAACCAGAGGCCCTTCTGGGAGTCTGAGAAGAGGGTACTGGAGCAGCGCCCTCCCTTACCCCTGGGCTGTCCAGGGAAAGCCCAGAGCCTCTCATGGTCTGTCTCCCTGGGGGGCTGAGGGGGGTCACCTGGGACCCGGCCGTGCCCCACCTGGCTCACTCAGCCTTAGGAAGCACTGCCTCACCCTGCAGGGTTAGAGTATTCGCTCCCATTTCTCTGAGGGCCAAGCCAGGGAGAAGCCGTGACCCCCCACCATATGGGGAAGGCTCACAGTGACGCCAAATCAGGACCCGAACTTGGGGACGGCCTCCTGGCCTGGCCCACGGTGCCCACCTGAACCAGTGAGAACGGCAGGGCAAGGCTGAGGGGGTTAGAGCGATGCTGCCCGCCCACAAAGGGGAAGTGAGTCTCTTCTCGGGGATCACCAGCACCGCAGAAGCCAGATGGGAGGACCAGGCCCCCTCCGTGGGTGGGGCACAGCCAGAGAGAAGGCAGCTCCAGGACATCGAGGTTTGCTGGAGAGGGCCGTGGGGGCGGGCCGTGCCGGGGTCCAGAACCGGCTGCCGTGACCAATGCCGCGCCCCTCCCCCCACAGCTGCTCCGCTGGTGACGTCCGGTGGGGCGGGCATGGGAAAGGGAGCCTAGCCCTTTAAGCGGCGGGCGGTCCTGCCCAAGCCGGCTGCGCCCCGGTGCGCGTCCCTGCGGAATGCGGGCTGGTGATGTCGCCGCAGGCGGCTCAGCCCGCGCGCGTCGCCCTCGCACCCTGGTCGGAGACGGCGGAGGGAGCAGCCCCTGCGCGGAGGGTGGGTGCGGCCCCAGCCTGGGACCGCGGCGGGGCGGTGGGGGCTCCCGGGCGCGCCGCCCCGGTCCGAGCAGGAGCGCGTGGTGGAAGAGGCGGGTGGGGCCGGGAGTCCTCCCAGGACGTGCGCTTTTGTGCGGGTTCGGGGTTTCATTGTGAAGCCTGGGAGCTGCGTGTGGCTTCCCCTGACCTGCAAGGCAGAGAGAGCAGGGGGTTGGGGGGGGTCCCTCCGGAAGGAAGGTGCCCTGGAGAGCCCTCGGCGAGGCCCTGAGAGTCCGGGCCGGGGTGGGGGGGGGGACCTGCAGAGGGTCCAGGGCTGCTGGCACCCTCCCTTGTCACCCATCCCCAGAACCTGGGGTGGCCCTGAAATCGCGGAAGGACTGCAGTCTCAGGCCCTACCAGACCTGGTGTCTACAGCGGGTTTGTAGGGGGCACCCCAAGCTGCCTGGCTCTTCCTGGAGGGGGTTCCTGGGGGTTCCAGGAATTGCAGCAAAGGCTGGCAGGTCTCTGCACCTGCCCTGAGACTCTCTTTAGGTGGGAGGTTCCTGATGGAATTCCCCCACCTCCATACTTGTCTGTCTTTGACGCTGAGAGAGCAGAGAGTAGGGGAACCGGGGCAGAGGAGTCTTGGGAGAGACGGTGCAGACCCTGCCCGTCCGCAGTGGGCGCTGTCCTCCAGCAGGAGTATCCAAGGGGCCCCTGGCTCTGGACTGTGAGTTGGGGCCCACCCTGGCACCCAGCTAAGCCCACCTCCCCTCCTGGGGACCTGAGAGCCACGGCATTGTCAGTCACCTGCCTCTCCCTGTCCAGCCAGCAGGTTTCTGAGGAAGGGACCCCTTTCCCTCCAAGGCTTATACCTCCACACCCCTAGGCTGGAGGTCCCCCACCTCTGTGGCCCCCCAAGGTCAAGGCTTTGTTGGGGGCACAGGGAGTGCACACGTCAGGCATTCTCGTTGGGCACCGAGCTGGACCGGGGCGAAGGCTGAGGCCACCAGGCATCTCTGTCCTCCGGAATCAGCCAGGTCTCTGGCACCAGCTGTGTCTGTGGGGCAGGGCAGGAAAGCACAGGGCACCTGCCTGGCTCCCCTGCCTCCTCCGCGGGATGGGGTAGGCCTTGGTCCAGTGGTTTCTTGGTCCTCTTCCCTGAGCCTCATAACAATGCCTGGGGCGCACAGGACCAGGACACTGAGGCCCGCGGTCACTCGCAGAGTCAGACGTGTGCCCGTGGGCCCCCCTCAGCCCTTTCTGGCCAGCGGAGGGTCTCCCTCCACCAATCTGGCCCAGCGCACACGTGCGGGAAAGGCGGCAGGACACATGCCAGCCACGTGTATAGCGCGTGGCCTGCGCGCTGCCGGTCCCCAGCGTTCCCAGCTCTCAGCCCAGCCTCTGCTCCTCCGTAGTCCCCTGCTGGGTGGAATGGAGCCGTAACCTGAGCGCAGATGCCCCTGCTGGCTGTGCCAGCTCCAGTGGGTGATGTCATGCCCAGTGTGGGGGGGCAGGCTGGCCCTCAGAAGCCCTTGCCTCCCGGTCCTGGCATCCAAGCCTGGCCCGGGGCTCCTGGCCAATTGGAGGCAGGGAGGGATTGCATCAGCCCAGGGGGAGAGGCAGGAAGGCCCAGCCTGGCCCAGGCCACAGTGTGAAGGGGCTGGTGATACCCCTGCAGGAAGACCCCCGTGGCCTCTGAGCCCGCCCCTCTGTGGGCCCTGCACGTGCAGGGCCCATCATTTTTATGGGCCCTGACTTTTATGGGCATCACAGCGGTGTCCTCAGCGAGGCCAGCCCCTGATTAGTGTGAGGAGGAATTAGCGCAGGGGCAGGTGATGTAAATGTGCCGGCCCACGCCCCCCGCTGCGATGAGAATGGCCTTCCAGTACCAGCACGGAGACCAGGTGCTCAGGACAGAGGCTCGCCGATTGGGCTGGGCGTCCGGGTGGGTGTGGCTGAGCCGCGGTGGTGGGTGGGTGGCCTGGCTCCCCTGCCCCAGCCGGCCCACCCCGTGACGCATGTCTCTCCGCTTCTCCTCCTGCAGGGGGCTTTGCCACCTTCTCCTCCTGCTTCCCCGGCCTCTGTGAGGGCAAGCCTGCTGCCCTGCTGCCCATGAGCCTCTCCCAGCCCTGCCTGCCCGTGCCCAGCGTGGGCCTGACCCGCATCCTGCCTCACCTCTACCTGGGCTCCCAGAAGGATGTCCTGAACAAGGTGCGTGCACCGCCGGAGTCCGAAGCAGCTCCTAGGCTGGTCTGGGGGAATGACGGATGCACACAGGTGTGGGGGAAGCACGGGTTGGGGGCACGGGAGGACCCAAGGGGGCCTGGCAGGACCAGAGCAGGGCTCGGGCAGGGCCTGGCCAGGCTGGGTGGAGAGGCAACTCCCTGCCCCTTTGGCAGTGCAGCCCACATGCCAAACTGCTGATGTCACTGGGCCCCTGGCCAGCCCTGAAAGAACCCCGTGTTTTAAAAATGGTGACGAGGGAAGAGGGTAAAGCCACCGCCCAGGCAGCCCAGCCATAAAATTCCTGGGAGCCTACGGCAGGCCAGGCCACAGGTGGGGCTCTCAGGGCCCGCCAGCCTCCTCACCACCCCCTCCCCAACTCTCCCCTCCTCCCCGCATGGGGCCTGCAGGCTCCCACCACAAGAGCATCCCAGCTTTCGGGCCTCCTGCCCAGCCGCACCCCCTTGCAACCTGTTCTCCCACCCTCCCAGGACCTGATGACCCAAAACGGAATAAGCTATGTCCTCAACGCCAGCAACTCCTGCCCCAAGCCTGACTTCATCTGTGAGAGCCGCTTCCTGCGCATTCCCATCAATGACAACTACTGTGAAAAGCTGCTGCCCTGGCTGGACAAGTCCATCGAGTTCATCGGTGAGGTGGACAGCACCCTCCTGCCCAGTCCCGGGGGAGGGCTGGAAGCAGGGGGCCAGGGGTCCTGAACCTGGGGTCGGGGAGGACTGCAGCCCCAGCCCTCACCTGGCCCCCCTGCCCTCAGATAAAGCCAAGCTGTCCAGCTGCCAGGTCATCGTCCACTGTCTGGCCGGCATCTCCCGCTCCGCTACCATCGCCATCGCTTACATCATGAAGACCATGGGCATGTCCTCCGACGATGCCTACAGGTAGCCCCTCCTTCCCGCCTGGGCCTGGCCCCTCCCCTCTCGACCACTAGCCACTGGATGGGCCCAGCAGTGAAGGGCACCCCCCTTTGGCTGCCCCAGCTGCAGATGGGGGCCTGAGCCTAGCCCCGGCACACTTGGGTCTGCACGTCAGCTCTGTGCCCCGGAGTGGGCAGTGGGGGCAGGGGAGAGTCAGGTGGGCAGCCTGGCCTGGCGGGAGCCCCGCCCCCACTGAGCGGCTCTCACCCCAGGTTCGTGAAGGACCGTCGCCCGTCCATTTCGCCCAACTTCAATTTCCTGGGCCAGCTGCTGGAGTACGAACGCAGCCTGAAGCTGCTGGCCGCCCTGCAGGGCGACGGGGCATCCCACCCTGGGACCCCAGAGCCCCTCCCGGGCCCTGCCGCCCCACTGCCGCCGCTGCCACCACCTACCTCAGAGAGTGCTGCCACCGGGAGCGCAGCGGCCATCACCACCAGGGAGGGCGCACAGGTGGGGGGTGGGGAGACCCCCACCCCCGCCCCCGCCCCGGCCACCAGCGCGCTGCAGCAGGGCCTGCGTGGCCTGCACCTCTCCTCTGACCGCCTCCAGGACACCAACCGCCTCAAGCGCTCCTTCTCGCTGGACATCAAGTCGGCCTACGCGCCGAGCCGGCAGCCCGAAGACCCCGGGCCCCCCGACCCCGGGGAGGCCTCCAAACTCTGCAAACTGGACAGCCCATCGGGGGGCGTGCTGAGCCTGCCCTCCCCCAGCCCCGACAGCCCGGACGCGCCGCCTGAGCCACGCCCCAGGCTCCGCCGGCGGCCCCGGCCCCTGGCCGGCTCCCCGGCGCCCGGCCTCGGCCTGAACTTCGGTGACGCCGCCCGGCAGACTCCGCGGCTCGGCCTCTCGGCCCTGTCGGCGCCCGGGCTGCCCGGCCCTAGCCAGCCGGCCGGCCCTGGCGGCTGGGCGCCACCGCTCGACTCCCCGGGCACACCGTCCCCCGACGGGCCCTGGTGCTGCAGCCCCGAGGGCGCGCAGGGCGCGGGCGGTGCGCGGTTCGCACCCTTCGGCCGGGCCAGCGGGCCGGGCGCGGGAGGCGGCGACCTGCGGCGGCGGGAGACGGCGAGGCCCGAGGCCCGGGACGCGAGGACCGGCTGGCCCGACGAGCCGGCCCCGGAGACACAGTTCAAGCGCCGCAGCTGCCAGATGGAGTTTGAGGAGGGCATGGTGGAGGGGCGCGCGCGCGGCGAGGAACGGGCCGCCCTGGGCAAGCAGGCCAGCTTCTCGGGCAGTGCGGAGGTCATCGAGGTGTCCTGACCGCGGCCGGGAGCGGCCCCTCCGCGGGGACCCGGCGCCCCCAGCCCTTCCGCTGCCCTCCCTCGGCTGGGCCCGCTATAAATACATATTATATATAATGCAATGAAAGGTAAATGGTTTTACTGCGATTTTTATCGAGAAGTAAATATTTCCATTTTTTATTTATTTAAGCTGTTCATTCTGGCAATGACTTGGCAACAGTGCGGGCGGTCCTCGGAGCTCTATTTTTACTGTCTGGTATTTAAACTGAAGCCCACGTTTCTAAGCAATATGAGGCCACCTTCAGTTGCAAGCTGGGGTGCCAGGCCTGGGGTTCCCCCCTCCCCCCTCCCCCAGGAAACACTGCTGACCGTTGCAAAGAGGCTGCTGAGCTTTCGTGCACTTTTTACATAAGGGGAAAAAAAGATGAAAAAACCTTTGCCACAAACTGAGCCGCAGAACCTCCCTGCCCCTCCCCCGCCCCACGACCTCCTCTCCTCCCTCTTCCTTCTCTGCTCCTTTCTGGGCACTTCACCAAAGCCATAGGTGGGAGGAGGTGTCCCGGGAGCGGAGGAGGCACCGCCAGCCCCCCGGCCACCTCCAGGCGCCAGGTCTCGGTGCCCTAGAGGGCACCCCCACCGCCCATGCCCCCGGGCCCGTTGCCTGGCAGGTGTTGGGGGCCCAGGGTGTTCAGAGGACTGGGGTCTGGAAGAGGGGAAGAGCGTGGTGAAGGGGGCTCCCGAGTGTCAGATGACATGGGTCCACAGGGCAGGGATGCAGGTGGAATGCCCCCACCCCTGCCCGAGGGGAGGCTGCTGCCCTCTCCTCCGCTTTGGGGGTGCCCCCTAGCGCCAGCTGCCAGTGGGAGAGCCAGCAGGAGGGGGAGCTTGGCCCCTGGGGGGTGGCAGGCTGGAGGAGCTGGGCCCCCAGTGCTGGCTCGGCTGGTCAGAGGGGGCAGATAGATTTAGGGGCTTGTTCTGCAGGTGGAGGTCCCTCCAGGAGGAGTGGCTGCCTTGCAGAGGGAGGGGGCAGTCAGCGCCTGGCAGACCCTTATGCCTCCGGGGGTGGGGGCCTTAGCTTGGGAGGGCCGCCTCCACGTAAATATCCCTGATGTGAGCAGATGCAGGAGGTGTCCCCCACGTCTGCCCAACCTCCATAGGGGCCTCGGAGGAGAGAGACCCCTGTACACCCCTCTCCTCTCCTCTGAAGCCTCCCCGGTATCTTCAAGGTGACATGCCAGTCCCTACTCCCAGGTGGCTTTTTGGCCCAGGTGGGCCAGCCTGGGGGTGAGGGCAGGAGCAAAGCCCCAGCTACCCCTCCTCGGTCAGTGGGACCCAAGGCTTTGGGAGGCAGGAGTGGGTATCCCCCAACCTTCAGATGTCCTAGAGTGTCCAGGAGTGGGGGCTGGTCACCTTGGGGAGAGGCCAGGGGCTTGGCAGAAGGGGTGGCCTGGGCAGGACTGAGTCCTCAGGCAGGCGTTGCGGGGCGGGGGGGGGGGGGGCGTGCCTGCCCCCAGCTGCCCTCTAGCTGTTTCTTCTACTTGTTCTTCTTTTGACCCCCGCCTTATGTCCCGTCATCCCCCCTTTGAACAAAATTTCTGTTCCTGTTCCCTGTGTCCCCACCCCGTCCCCCAAGAGCATAAGCTATCATTGTTGTATTTGCAATCTATGGACTAGAGGTTTAACTATTTATTACTATTGGTTAATTATTATTATTATTATTGATTATGTAAATTTGCCTCCTGTCTGTCTATCGCGTTGTGTTCCTGAGGTGACCCCGGGTGTGGAGGATGCACTGGTCCCCACTCCGCGCCCTACCCCTAAGCTGTCCAGGAGACAGTGCTCAGGGCCGCTGGTTGGGCCCCACCACCCTGGGAGCGGGTCCCATGGCCCGTTCTCCCCGCCCTCCGTCCTTGTCCAGGGCTGGAGCCGCTGTGGCTTCTGTCCTGGGGCGCGTGGGGGCTGTTGCTCATGAGACGCTGGTCGAAGTGAGCAGCTGTGATGAGAGAAGGTCCCGTCTCGGCTGCCCCCTGCCCCCCATGCTGGCGGCACTGGGCACCGGGCAAGAGCCCCTCCCTGGTCACTTCCACCCACTGTCCCAGGCAGGGAGGGGAGGGGGCAGGGCCCCAGCTCTCTCCAAGTCTCTCTTGGCCCTCCCACCCCTCCTGCCGGCCCAGTGCCCCGGCATCAGGGGTCCCCCAGAATGGACCCGGCCCCCTCCTATTATTTGCTGGAAAGTCCAGCGGAGGAGAGGTGGCAGGTCCCCCCGCATGGCTCCCGGTCCCTCTGGACGGGGCTGCCCCACCTCAGAACCCCTTCCCAGCGCGGCCGCTCTCTCATCCCTGTCCTGTCCCCTTCTTTTGTATTTGGAAACGACGTGTTGTAATAAATCCTGAGATGGATGTTTTCTCCACGCCTCCGGCTGCCTCCTTCTTTGGGCTGGTGGGCGGTGGTGTAGAGGGGCTTCCTGGGGCCAGGAGGCTGGGGTGTGGGGCCTGGAGAGTCAGACTGCCCCCGACTCACTGCGCAGAGCCCCGAACCCAGAACCCAGTGGGCCTGCTGTGGCGGAGGGGCAGGTGTACGATGTAGCGCAGCCTTTTTTGCTGTTTCAGGCTACTGACAATTTAAATAACTTAGAACCGTATAAAACGGAGGCTCAGTTTTCCCCTCAGCTGCCCCCACCCCACTCTCCAGAAATAACCACTGGGAACAGTTCCACAGCTCCCTGCACACCTCCGTGTGTGTGCACGCGTGAGCAGCATGTGGGTACACGCACGTACGTACCACACCACAGTTTGCCTTCCCAACAGAAATGGGGGTCTAGCTATACAGAGTGTCTACAACTGGCTTTTATGCTATTGTTTAAATTACTCATTGAAGGTTCAAGGCCCAAAGGCACACAAGGGTACCTGGTGGGAAGTACTGGTGTGTGTCCCCAGCCACCGGCTTCCTCTCCCTGGCACCAGCGCCCCCCTGCAGGCCTCCCTCCCTCACTGCCAGGGCTGCAGAGACTGCAGTGTCAGTGCGGCGGGGCTGAGGCTCCCCGGCCCACGTGTGTTTACAGCTGCAGCTCTGAGCATCTGTGCAGTGCTCTCATGGGACACATTGTAGACCTGACTCCTCTGGGCCATTCCAAAGTATGCCCGGCCGTTACTGTAACGACGGCTCTGACACGCTGAGCGCTTGCTCTGTGCCAGGCGCCACTCTCAGCATTTCCGGGGACCCTCACCTCCCAAGTCTGTGGGCAGCCTCCCCAGCAGGTCTGTGCCCTCAGCCCCTCTGGCCAATGCAGTGCAACCTCCCCGCAGGGGGTCTGACCCTTCCGGAGGTTTGGCCTGCTTATCCTGGGGACCCTCCCCCTCTGCAAGCAGGCAGGTAGCCCAAACCAGGGACACCGGCCAGACCTGTGTCTGTGCATGTGTGTGTGGCCACACACACGTGTTATATGAGCACACACACGCATGTGTAGTGAACGTGTGGTCTCGAGAAGCAAGAGGACGTGCAAGGGCTAGGCCGGGAGGGCCGGGGCTGCGGAGCAGGTAGGGTCCGTGAAGCCTGCGCCCGCAGGAGTCCTCAAGGAGGCGAAAGCTAGAAACACTGACTGCCTCTCTGGCAAGGCTATTTTTAGCTCGAGAACATCTATTTATAACTCTGGCAGCCCCCTGGAGTCAATGAAAGGAGGACTGGAAAAAGCTGACGGCGGTTTGGAGCAGCACCTAACCCTGAGGGAGGTGGGGTACCCAGCAGGGGCCCTGGGGCCAGCGGAGGACTCCGAATCCCCCAGGCTCCCAGGGGTCAACTTGCCCAAGTGCTAAACAAGCCAGGTAGTGAGGCTAGATCTGAACCCTGGGGGCTGGCCTCCCCCCTGCTCTCGACCACCACAGTCTGGTCCCCACCACACCAGGTCTCCTAGATTCTAGGCACCCCTGCTTCTGCCTCTGTGTCTCCCCCCTAGGCCAAGGGCTTTAGGCACTTGATGGCTTTGGGGTGCGGGGGTGGGGGTAGATGGGTGGCATGGGATTGTCTGCGGCTGGTCTCAGCCTATAGACAGCGATGCCATGGGCTAGGGATGCCCACGGCCCCTGCCTGGGCCTGTCTTACTTGTGGACGCCCCCATAAGTAGGACACACATCTCGGCAACGACCATCAGGGAACTTTGAAAAAACAAGGTTAACTACCGGGCCTGAAGGTACACAGTACGCCTGGGGTCACACAGAGAGGTCACCGGTAGAGAGAGACAGAGTGTGGGCCTGGGCTTCTGCTTGTATTGGGTTCGAGTGGGGGGTGCCTAGGGTTTCGCGGGTTCGCTCTTTATTGGTAAATTAAGACATAGGAGTGGGAATAAGGGAAGGGAAACACGGGGTCACACAAGGGGTCAGTTATCTAGGTCACCCAGGGCTTTCTTCATGGGGACCCTCACGGGTGGGGTGGCCTGGCTCTTTAGCTGTGTAGTTGGCATTGTGTTTATTCCAGATAGATGCCTTTTTTTTTTTTTTTTTTTTTTGCGGCACGCAGGCCACTGTTGTGGCCTCTCCCGTTGCGGAGCACAGGCTCCGGACGCACAGGCTCAGCGGCCATGGCTCACGGGCCCAGCCGCTCCGCGGCATGTGGGATCTTCCCGGACCGGGGCACGAACCCGCGTCCCCTGCATCGGCAGTCGTTGAAATGAATGCCTCAGCAATCAAAAGCTTAGTGTCAGGCACTAACTTTACAATCAAAAAAGCTAATTATCAGGCATTTACATTACAGGGGTGGGTGGATGGGTGAGTGGGTAGATAAATGAGTGGTGAGTGGATGGGAGGGAGAGTGGATGGATGGATGGATGGATGGGTGACTGGTTGCATGGATGGGTGATTAAGAAGTGGATGGGTGAATAGGGGTATATGGATGGCTGGGTAGGGGGTAGAGGGATGGGTAAATGGGAGGAAGGCAGGGAGGGAGGGGAAGAAGGTGGGTGAGTAGTAACCTTCCATCACACCTAGTGCACCTCTATTAGTCGGCCGTATATTAAAGCTGTGTGCTTACCTCCATCCTCCCACTGGACCATAGGCATCCTGTCCTTGCTGAAGAAGGTGCCCAGTGGGGCTTCTCTGGTGGCGCAGTGGTTGAGAGTCTGCCTGCCGATGCAGGGGACAGGGGTTCGTGCCCCGGTCTGGGAAGATCCCACATGCCGCGGAGCGGCCGGGC